CCAAAAGCACGAGAACAAAAAATTAACAAACTAGAGAACATCAAAATTAAATCTTCATTCAAGAACATTGGGAAAAAAAAGGCAAAAAGAAGAAAAAATATCATGGCAGAGAAAATTACCTAAACATCACATATCTAGTAAGGGTATTGGATCTAAAATATATGAAGAATTCTTTTTTGCAAATTTTTAATTGAATTTTTGTGTATTTCATAGAGAACATTTTAATCATCTTTCTACCCCTCTCGTAGCCCACCCCTGGATTTCATGAATTCTGTCATTTGTGTTAAAGCTTCTCTAGTGAAGTTAGTGTGCCCAGACATTCCTCAGTGCAAGTTCAGTCAAAAAATTACAGACTCAATTTTAAAACGTTCACAGAATTTAAACAGATTTATTTTCTGTAGAACTTAAAGACTGATAAGAAGAGAAAAAAAATCAGTATCATTTGTCCTTAGAGAAATGCAAATCAAAACCAGGAAATACCAAGTCACATTAAGATGACAAAGATGAAAATTTCTCTTTTTTTTGTAAATTTTATTGAGTTTTTGCGTATTTAATACAGAACATCTTAATCAATCTTAATCATCTTTACACCCCCTTCTTCACTGACACTCTCCCAGAGCACCCCCTAGAAAATTAAAAATAACAGGTATTGGTAAAGATAGGGGAAAATTCCAATATGTATATTGCTGGTGGGAATATAAAGTGAGTGCAGCTACTATGGAAATTTGGTTGGTGATTCCTGTATAGCAATTCGACTCCTAGATATGTGCCCAAGAGAACTGAAAATATTTCCCTACAGTGAGCAAAACCACAAAGTTTGAATACATAGTCCTCAAAATTGACTCCCACCTTTTGTTAAGAATATTTCACACTTCGTTAAAACTAATTCACTGTGTACAGGCTATACAGCAGGGACTGAGAGGAGCCAAGGAGAGCGACCAACTATGAGCTTTCTACGAACAGCACAAGGAAAAAGCAAACTGGAAAAATTCTTCCTCATTTACTACTTATCAGAATTTTTTTAATTATTAGTATTGTTTAATTTTTTTAATTTAATAACCACATGATTAGAAGAAGCATTTCATTACAGCTTTAACATATTCAGTAACACACCCCAGAGCAAGGATGCATCTCTTTCAAAAGTGGCTATAAAAATTTTAGATTCACAGTTGTATTAATACAGTTATACAATATTGATCTCAGTATAAACTCTGTAAGACATAAAATTGAATGAGTCTTTAACCTTTAGAAAAGATCTCCATTTCCTTTACACAAAAAAATCAACAAATTTTAAAAATGAGTTATATTGGAGGAGGAGACATAAAAATTTACATCATGTTAATTAGGACTCATTGTTTTTGCTACTAACACTGAGATGTTGGTGCATGTGTCTCTAATCTGTTTGTATCTGATTATTACTAGTCATAATCGGTTGCACTCAGATCCTTGGCACCTGTGTATGTCTATAAAGTCATCGGGTAGATTTCAATGATAAAGTACAGGTTTTCTGGGATATGTTCTCTGTTTTTCAAGCATTTTGAAAATTGAATATTTGTGAATTTCATATAGTAAATGTTGATCAAATTTAGATCCCCTCTCACTCACCTGCACTCACTCCACTGCCCCCACCCAAGTTCATGTATTCATGTATTCTAATTATACAGACTCAAACTTGTATCCCCAAATGCTCTTTGGTGTGGGTCCATCTGATGGAGCCTGATCAAACTTTCAAGGGTCTCACCCTTAAATGAGACTGACTTTCTCCCTCCCAACAGCCATTGGTTGTCAATAGCTCCTCAGCTGTGGTTGGGGTTTCTTACCCATTTCCTTACACCTATGTTGGGATTTTGTCTGACTAAAACTTACATGGTACATGTGTATGCTATCACCATTGCTATGAGTTCATATAAACTGTCTGGAAATTTTTGTTTCCCTGTGGTCACCCCACAACCTTTGGCTCTTTCAGTCTTGCCACTTCCTCTTCCAAAATGATCCCTGGACCTTGGGAGCAGAAATTTGATATAGGTGTCCTGTTCAGGGAAAAGCACTTGGCAGCCTCTTATTTCCTACATCTTACCCAGTTGTGGGTCTCTGTGTTAATCATCATCTGCTGAATGATGAAGCTTCTCTGATAAGAGTTGAGAGATGAATTATTCTATGGATATGACAGAGTCATTTGGAGTCAGTTTAATACTATATTTTATAGAATACTAGTATTAAGCTCGCCCCTATGACCTACGACCTGTTAAGCACAGGTTCCTAGGTCTGATATCCATGTCAGGCATGGGCTCCATCTTATAAAGTGACACTTAAATCTAATAGAAAGTAATTGGCTGCTCTCATAATGTATATGCCTGCTGCACTGGTAAGCATGTCTTGCCAGGCTGGTTGTTCTTGTAGCTCACAAAATCCACAGTTGTGTAAGTTGATGATTAATTATAAATATATCAAAATATATTTATACACTAAAGATATTCCCTGTGTAGCTTTGCCCACCACACGTTATTTCTTAATCAAATTTTGGTTCTCTAGCAGTGTGCCCCACTCCACTTCCACAGGCCTTCCTGTTCAAAGGCCTTGGTAGTCAAGAATTTGGCTCTCTAAGGGTAAGAGGGAAGGCTTGTGTGGTCCTTCCTTGCATCTTTGATAATGAGGGCACTGGAGTTCTGATTTTCCAATATTATGGTACATCTGGGTTTTCCTACTTACAACAAATGTTTAGCCTCAGGCCAGCTCAGTGGTAGCCATGCGCATGGTTGAGGAAGCAGTACATGGCTACTGAACTTTAACAGTGAATGTCACAATTACTCTAGAAGAGGACAGAAGCAGGTATTGAGCTAGCTCATCGCCCAGGACCAGTGATCCTCTCTGGCCTATCAAACCTATCAAGTCTTGCCGTCTGCCAAATACTTCCACGTGTTACTTTGCTTTACTTCCTAAATATCTGTAAGCTAAGTGGAAATGGCCTCCAATTTACAGAAACGATAAAAATTAGTGTCTACCAGCTAAATCTAAGATGCAGTATAACTAGATGGGAAGTTTAACGAATTCACTTGGGGCAAAGTTGTTTAACTTTGTTCAGTGAAACTCACACCCTGCTCTCCTGACCCATTTCATTCTCTCGTTGACTTTCTCCTACAACAAAGTTCTTCATTCAGTAATTTTCCGGTCAAACCCTGTGCTCACCACCATCTAGTCTCCACCTTCTCTAAGTTTGCTCTTCTTTCTTTTAAAAATATTTTAGTTAATATTCATACACATATATAATGTTGTAAAGCCAAATTCTCTCCTGGGAGGCCCGCACTCGCTCTCTCAGCTTTTGGGTCCTCTGTGAGGTGCGCTACAACCTTCTCAGCTCCCAGGTCCCACATGGTCCTTAAAACTGACAAAACCAACACAATGCCCCTCTAAGCTGCAGTTTGGGTAATAAAGATATTTACTCGGGCTTGCCAGCAAAGCTTATGCCATCCGGGAGGATGTTACTTACAAAGGAATGGATGCCCATGGATTCTTTCCCCTACATCTCGGCTGAGCTTTTAAGATCTGTGCTTGCCCAAGCACAGGCCAAAATGGTGATTTCCCACCACCTCCCTGGCTTGCTCTGTGTCTATTCTTAGACCCACCCTTTCATGTAATTGATGCTGACCAATTGGGTGGGAGGGGTGACTGTCTCTCCCTCTGTCTTTGTAGTGTCTTAGGGCACAGACATTCAGCTGTGGCTAGTTCTTTTGGAGGACACGCCTATCCAACAAATGCGTTTAGATCCAATCCACCCCCATTTCCTCCCCTTCAGTTCCTCCCCTCCCCTGCTTTTCCCTTCCAACTTCATGTTCTCTCTCTTTGTATGGTGGAAGCTGGGAAGATGGTGGAAAGAGGAACAATTGTGTTCTTCATTCTACATAGTTATTTTGTAATTACTTCAGTATATTTTTAAGAAAAGCCCTTCAAGTTCAATATACATCAGAGCCAGGATCTGAGCCTGGCTACATACACAGAGGCAGGGAAGACTGGCCTGTTCCAGGAGGAATGGGGCCATTCTCCCTTTTTTACACCTCTCTCACACATGCAAGCACAGAGATTCACAGATACACACATATGAGAAAAGGGATCACATAGCTCAATGTAACAATATATACTCGGTTCTTACCAATTAATACGAAAAATCTTTTATTATTTCCTTTGTACTTATGGGAACAGTAAAGAGAAAAGTGTTACTGAATAGACACAAGAACTGCAGTGGCTGGGCCACCTGACATGTTTTATGACATATACACTCAGAAACCTGATGTCAAAGAAGCCTAGATGTGGATGACTGAGGAACCCAAATCAAACGATTCATGCTCTCTTTCCTGTGTGCTTACCATTGTTTCAGTCCAACTGACTGTCTCAAGAGAAGGGAGCTTGAGCTCAAAATACAAAATACCAGCTCTCTAGACAGTGAGCTTCATGGAAAAGACAAAGAACAAATCTGAAGAGGCAGACAGAGAAAGAAGCAGCCATATATATGTGGTTTTGCTTGAGAAAGCAAAGTCATCCATTCATGTGCTAAGTAGCACTCCAGCACAGTCTGGTAAGGCTTCCCTATGACTGCCTCTGCATCACTTACTGCTGAGATGATGTTTGTCAGGCAGATGGGCTTTTCTCACAGGACACAGCTAACAAAGCACAAGCATGCCCTATAATTCATACATTTCTTATTACATTGGTTTTTATTTCAGACAGTACATGCACATAATCAGTTATGTTTTTAAATGCCATTTGATCAGTTTAGTAGACAGCCCATCTATGTTCTCAAATGTAAGCATTCACTTAGATTTCGTCAGTTTTAAAACTACTATGAAAAGATTTTGTTCTTGGCAGAAGTTTTCACAATTCTTTGCATAAAATATGAAAAGGAGATCTCAAAAGCATTCATACCCCCTCCATCCTGTTGGAATTTACACCATATAGTTTAGAAGAAGCTGAAGTCAACATATACCATGGAGAAGGCTTCTAGAGTGTTATTTCTTTTGGAAGCCCAGACAAAACACCTTCTGGAAGCCTTGCCTAAGTTCTCTGGTCCTGAGCGCATACACCATAGGGTTAAGGGCCGGAGGAATAATGTTGTGCAACACGTTGAGTAAAACTGGGATCAAATTGGTCTTAGTCTCTGCCAGGTGAGTTACTGAAATCACTACAACAACAGTGTAGAAGAAGAGGATAAGGATGAGATGTGAGCTACACGTGCTCAGAGACTTGGACACAGCTTCCGCTGAGTTCATTCTAAGTACAGAGCGTAGAATCAAAGTATATGACAAGATTATGAGGCCTAAATCGCTCCCCATTCCAAGCCATGCCAAGAGCAACTGGCAAATGCTGTTTGGCCTCCTGTCATCACAGGCTAGGCTTGTGACTCCAAGGTTAGAGCACAAACAGTGCTCAATTTCATTCCTGGAACAGTAATTCCTCTGGGCTGCAAGCACAGGCACTGGGATGACAAACAAGCCATTTCTGAGCACCATAAACAGGGTGGCTTTGAAGATCAAGGAATTGGTGACAATTGATGAGTATCGAAGAGGATAACAAATAGCTACGTAGCGATCAAAAGCCATGCAGAGGAAGATGCCAGACTCCATGCCTACAAAACAGTGAATGGCATAAATCTGAGCAAAACACTCAGGAAGACTAATGGCCTTGGCATCAAACCAGAAGATGGCCAAGATCTTAGGCATGATGGTGGTGGCCAGGCCCATGTCCACCACAGAGAGGATGCCCAGGAAAAGGTACATGGGATGCTTCAGAGAGGGATCCTGACAGATGATGATGAGAATGAGGACATTTGCCCCTATTGCTGTGAGGTAGAGTACTGCCATCGGCAGGGAGAGCCAGTGCTGCCAGCTGTGGATGCCCGGGAATCCCATCAGAATGAACTCTGATACCTGGAATTTGGAGCTATTGAAATCTTTGAAAGCTGCAGACATTTTCCTGTGAGGGAAAACTGTATGTTTTCCAATGTTGCTTTCCCCAAGCAGAATCATTATTAAATGACATTTTAAAACAGTCACCACAGTATACTTCTCAGTGCCACAACAGAATGAATTTTGTAAGTCAACTCTCATAATAATACATGATATTAATAAATTGCTAGACAGTTCTAGGGGTTTAACAACTGAAGGTAAACTTAAAGGTTAATATTGTATGAATTGGATGTGTAGTTAAGTGGTATAGTGCCTTCCTATCATAATGCTGGGGTTTAACTCTCATCACTGCCAAAAATTTTACAGTTAACAACGTTGAATCTAGGGAAATCTCAGCATAAATATGAAATATATATTTGTTGTATCTTCAATTATCCTAGATGGTATTACCACATAAATACTATTATAGATTTTTTCCTCAATAAATATATAAAATATTTAGTTGACTTAAAATATTTTAAAAATAGTAATTGTGTAAAACACTAAAATCAATGAACAGAAACTTTTCATTAGATACGTGTTTTAATACTTAGAAAAATTAAAATCTACTATATTTAAATAAAGCAAGTTACAACAATGCTCAATTATTTGATATCACCTCCATTTACCAGTGAGGAGAAGCATGCAGTCTCCCACCACATGCCTTTTTTGCTTTCTGCAGTAGTTACTGTGTGGTCTATGCCTTTGAGAACATATGGCTGTTCGAGGGTGCTCTCACTGTCCACGCCTCTCTTGGCTATAAATTGAAATATTTGAAAGAGTCTATGATTCAATATTAGCCATTAGCTGGTTAGTTCATATCACAATTTACAATTTTAAACTTAAAATATTGGAGTATTGCTAAAGCAACAATTTTCTCTAAAAATACAGTTACCCTTTATCTAAACATTTCTACATATCCAGAAATTTTGTAAAATTGAATGGATGTCCTTTTATTACATTATCTTTTTCTCAATGTTGCTTGGCTTACTTATTTATGAAGAAATTATCAAAACTGGGGTTTTAGTATGGAATTCAGAGAAACTTAATTTTATAGCCAAATCGTTGTTGTTAATATAAATATTCATTAATCTTTTATACAATCTGGTATAATAGGTCTTTATATATATTATATATAATTATATATATATTGTATATATATATACAAATATATATGTTAAATATATGTTATATACATATATACTAAGTAGGGTACATGAAATTGGGTGGGTGATAGTGGGGGGCATTCAGGTGGGGGAGAGTATCTAATGCAATCAAAATATATCATATGAAATTCACAAAAATTAATTTAAAAATCATTGCCATGAACTCGTAAAGATACCCAGAAACAAGCTATGTTGAAGAGCTGAAGATCAGAGGTTGGATCTATTTTTGCATTCTACTTTGTGCACTGACATGATAAGCTTACAAAACCATGGTGTGATGGAAAGTTAGGTGATTTTTTTCAACTTAAAGAATCATATAATGGGGACAGGAGACGTACCTTAACATTTTTAGTTGAGTCCTAGTGAACCTTTAAAAACATAAAGACAGAACTTAGGTGCATATAAAATTATGTTATTATTATTATTGTGTTGCAAACAATATGAGATATACCCTCAAACTGTAGTTACTTATAATGTTGCACTGCAAAATCTCCAGAACTTAACCTATAAAACTGAAACTTCATAACCACTGAAAAAAATATTCTATTTAATAAACATGTCACTTATTCATAATATTGAAAGAGCTAGAATGGAATGGCCAGAATCATGTTAAAACTGGACTGTATCTTTTTGAAGGTTCTGTTGTCTTTTCGTGTCTTTTGTATTATGAAAAGCTGCTTATTAGGCAAGTGTGATTAGCAAACTAGCCTGCCTCATCCACACACAAAAATACTTCCCTGTGGCCACTCAAGGGCATCCTTTCTCTTCATCACTAATATTTCTGTAATGCACTTGGTCACATATAATTCTCATTTCTTCATTATTTGTTCTTTCTACAATAATCTGGTCTTCTAAAACTGCTCTACTCCTGCTTAAAGTAATTTAGGTTTCACATTATCATTCAAATGAAGTCCAAACTTCCTTGTTCCTTACGCACAAGGTATGCTCAGGTGTGGCTCAGACCAAACTATGCACCACATTATGGCCTTCCAGTCCTTATATGATGCGCTTCAGATGCATAAAATACATGAATATATAAAAGTATTAATTTTGCAAGACATTTCATTACTTATATTATGGTGGAAGGTAACACAGATTTATGAGCACACACACAAATGCTTATAAAGTTATGTAGCAAAGTTTTTAAAATATTTTAACTATTACTTTTATTTTATGTGTATGAGTATATCTCCTGAATGTATGTAAGTAGCAAAATTTTAAAACAACTTTAATGTACAATCTTATCAATTTAGTTATATTAATTGTAGGTTTATTCTTGATAGAATAACTGTTACACAAAATAAAAAATTGAAAGGAAAACAAATTTTCCTATATTATCACCAATAAGAAACAGTTATCTATTTGGTTATTTTATATATATATACTTTAATTGACTTTTTGTGTATTTCATACAGAACATCTCAGTCTTAATTATCTTTATACCCCCCCCCATCCCCACTGGCACCCTCCTATAGCCACCCCCCACTGAAGCCCATATACTGTCATTCTGAGCAGAGACTCACAGCCTAGGTTCTTGACAATGAAGGAGTTTTCCACTAGGAAAATAAAAAGAATTTTGATAAAGAAGATTTCACATGTGACAAAAATGTGTTCTCAGCTGAAATACGGGACTGAAATTATGGAATCCTGGAATTTATGGACAATATCACAAGCTAAGCAACCCAGAGATAATTGAGCTCCTTTGGAGACATAGGGAGAAAGGCCTACAGAGAAAGCTGAATTCCTATGATGCTAAATCCCAAAAGTGTAGCAACGATATTAATTCAGAGACATATATTCTATTAATATAAGGCCATACAAAAATGGAAACCAAAATGATCCTATAATGGGTGGCAACCTTTGAATTGTTCTTAAGTATAAAAATTCAGAGGATTTCTCCCTTAGTAACACTTGTCTCCTACTGTTCTTCTCTCTTGGGTTCTTTCTTTCCCTTTACCTCCCTGTTTCCTTTCCATTATTCTGATTCCTGCAGTTACATCTCTGTACAAACTCACATATAAGAATTTGGTGATAGGATCCACATATGAGAGAGAACATATGTTGTTTGTTTTTCTGAGTCTGTGTTACTTCACTTAGTATCAACCCTTTACCTGCAAATTTAATAACCATCCTTTTTTTTTTTTAACCACAGAGTTGAACTCCATTGTGGAAATGTACCATTACTAAGGGAGAAGTGGATAAAATGGGGTTATTTGGAAGGGGGAGGCAGGGTTATACAAGGCAACTTTGGGATAAAGGGAAAGAAGAAGCTCAAGAGAACTGGAACCATAGGAGACTCGTATTGTCAAGGGAGAAATGGAGAAAATGGGGATACTTTACATGTGGATACAATGGCTGAATGGAGAGAGGAGGGGCAATAATGCCCAGCCAGTTAAAGAAAAAAACAGATGGAATCATACTAGTCCAACAACCTAATGACAAATTACACATAAGTACTACATGAGTCCATGTGTAGTTAATGCTACATAACAAGAAACCTAATGACAAATTACACATACAGTACTACACGAGTCCATGTGTAGCTAAATGCTACATAACAGGAAACAGTGCCAGATAGGAGAAAGCTTCCTTTGAGTTGTTATTGAGGGTGGTCCAAGAGACTTCCAAAATTACATAGGATATTGCCACAGACCTTGATGGCCTCCCAGAACTTGAAGGTAAGACCCAACTGCTGAAGACAGAACGTACTTCGTACACAAGATTTAGAGCAACATGTTTGGAAATGACCTGAAACCACTCCCCCTGAAGGCTAGCTCTCATAGCTTTGGAGAGCACAGTGAGGGTGCCAAGGGAAAACATCAATCTATGGTCCAACACCAGCTTCAAATAACCACATCGATGGCCTATAGTATATGACATTGGTGCAGTAGTGGCACTTTTATCTTGGGGGCTTTTTATCTTTTTATCTTGGCACTTTTATCAACAACTAACTGGACTAAAAGCCCATTGAATGGGAGGAAACTCAAGTGGGGTACTGTAAACATAACCAAATACACATGGCTAGAGTGGTCATAAATCTTAGAGAAAACCCCAAGATTGTCACATCCCTAATGTTATTTCTTATTATGAGAAAAATATGTATCCTTCTATTTATAGACAAATATCCCAGTCACCACTCATCAAAGGAGCTCATTTTGTACCAGTTGGAGACTCTCAACAAGCACTACAACTGGCCACACACAGACATTGACTATGAATTTCCCAGGCCTAAGTGACACATCTACAATGCAACCTCTAAACCTAAGGCTAAAGGAACATAAAACAGGGGTAAAGAATTTCTCAGTTGTCATTAATGAAGCTCCCTAATTCAGTGGAGGACCAGGAACACAAAAGGTCACAAATCGGCAAAGCATTGTAGATCAAGAGTCTGCTGAATGCTTGTCTTTGAACAGGACTCCTTTTTAAACTTCACCCACCAAAGGCTCAGGGACCATCAGAGAAGAGAGGATGGAAAGATTGTAAGAGCCAGAGGAGGTACAGAACCATATAGAAACAGAGTCCTACAAGTTCCTGGGACCCTGTCCATATGATTCTATGGCAATGGTGTCAGCATATACAAGTCCCATGCAAACAGCCAGACAAAACCCAGCATAGAACTGGGGAAATGAACAGCAGACCCCAATCTTAGATCAAGAAATATTAGCAACTGATTACTGCTAGATGAGGAAGAGCTGATTTTCCTAAAACAAGAGACTCTGGACAGGCTGACTAGACCTCAGTGGATGGATGTTCACTGGGGAACATTTGAGGATGCTGATTTGATACAGTGGGCCTAATAAGGATGACAGAATATATGGGTTCCAGTTGGGGGGGTGCTATGTGAGTGTGCTGGTTGGGACTGATTGTTTGAGATATTGTGTATGAAATACACAAAAAATAAAACAAATTTGAAAAAAATTCAGAGGATTATAAATTCTGTGATTATGAAGCTGCTTTAGATATTTTTAAAATGAGATTTTTTAAAATTTTCACTTTAAAACTTTATTCACTTCAAAATGTAGGGGGAAAGGTTGAAGAGACGGCTGAGCTGTTAAGAGCACCGGCTGATCTTGCAGATGACTTAGGTTTGATTTCTAACACCCACATAACAACTAACAACCATCCATAACTCCAGTTCCAGATCAGTCACTTTCTTTTGGTTTCTGCAGGCATTGCATGCCAGGGGTGCACTCACATACTGTGAGAAAAACACTCATACATAAAATAAAAATAATAAATAAAATATTTTTAAATATATGGAGAATATCTAGTATTGTTATGACTATGTCTCTGCAATGTAGATTGAGGTCTGGTATGGCAATCTTCCCCCTCATTACTCTTTGTTCTCAGGATTGCTTAGGCTATCCGGGGTCTTTTATAATTCCATGTGAATTTTAGGAAGAATTTTTCAAATTTTGTGAAGAGTGTTAAGGGAATTTTTATTGGAATTGCACTGAATCTGTAAAGTGCTACTGGTAGGATGCACTTTATTGACTCTACCAAATGAGCTTCACATACTGACTCTACCAAACCATGACCACAGAAGGTCTTTCCATCTCCTCTGTCTTCCTCGATCTCCTTCTTCAAAGACTTAGAGTTTTCATTATAGAGATCTTTGATGCCTTTGGTTTGGTTTATTCCTATATTTTTTTTAATCTTTTTAAGACAGGATCTCCCTGTAACCCCAGCTGTCCTGGAACTCTCTGTGTAAACTGGCTGGCATCAAACTCACAGAGATCTGCCTGCCTCTGCTGGGATGAAAGGCATGTGCCACAACGCCCAGCACTATTCCTAGATATGTAGGCTGTTATGAATGGGAGGGTTTCCACAAATGCTTTTTCAGATTGCTTGTTATTGGTATATAGAAAAGCTACTGATTTTTGTTAAGTTGATTTTGTAACCTGCCACTTTTCTCTTAGGTATAATATCATATCATCTGCAAATAAAAATAATTTCACCTCTTCTTTTCAAACAAGTGTTTCTTTAATGTCTTTCTCTTGTCTTGTTGCTCTAACAAGAGTTTCAAGCACTAGATCGAAAAGGAGTGGGGACAGTGGACAGTCTTGTCTGCTTCCTGATATTAATGGGAATTTTTCAGGTTTTCTCCATTTACAATGGTGTTGGCTGTTGGTTTGTTGTACATAACCATAACTATGTTGAGGTATGTTCCATCCAGTACAATTCCCTTTTATAATAAATACATGTTGGATTTTATCAAAGACCTTTTCTACATCATTGAGAAAATCATGTGGACTTTTTTTAAAGTTCATTTATATGATTTAATATGTCTGTTGACTTATGTATACTCACCCACCCATCATCTTTGAAATAAAGCCTACATGATCATGGTGTATGATATTTCAGATGTGTGTCTTTATGGAGTTTGTATTTTCTTGAGAATTTTGGCATCTATGGTCATTAGGAGTATGGGCCTATAATTTTCATTTTTTGTTATGTCTTTTCCTATTATGGGTATTAGAGCAATACTGGTGTCATCGGAGTTTTGAAGTTCTCCTTCTGTTTCTTTTTTGATAATTTAAATAGCATTGGTTGTAGATCTTTAAAGGTTGGGTAAAATTCTGCTGTGATTCCATCTGGGTCTGGGATATTTTTAGTTAGGAGGCTTTTAATAACTTTTAATTTCCTTGTTTGTTAATGCTCTGTTTAAGCTGTTTATCTCTTCAAAGTTTAGTTGTGATAATTTCTATGAATTTAGGAATTCATTTCCTTTAGATTTTTGTATTTATTAGAGTATAGGCTTTTAAAGTATTCACTTAAAATGTTCTAGATCCTTTTAGTGTCTATTGTGATGTTCCCATTTCTTCTCTGACTTTATTGATTTGGATTTGCTCTTTCTTTCTTTTGGTTAACTGGAATAGAGTTCTGTCTATTTTGTTTATTTTTTCAAAGGGGTGGCTCTTAGATTCATTGATTCTTTGTATTGTTTTCTTTGCTTCTATCTCACTAATTTCTGTTCTGATTTTTGCTATTTCTTCTCCTCTGCTGGGTTTGGGTTTATTTTGCTTTTGCCTTTCCAGATTCTTGAGTTGTATCATTAAGTCATTTATTTGTGCTTTTTCTGATTTTTAAAATGAAGGCACATAAAGCTATAAATTTCCCTCTTAAGACAGTTTTTAATGTGCATCAGAAGTTTTGGGGGGCTGTATTATCATTTTCGTTTAGTTACAGGAATACATTTCTTTCTTGATTTCTTCTTTGACCCACTCATTATTCGTGTATATGTTGTTTAATCTCCATGAGTTCATGTAGTTATTAGAGATTCATTTGCTATTGATTTTAAACTTCATTGTGTTGACGTCTCATAGCATGCATTGAATTACTTGAATCTTTTTGTTTGGTTAGGTTTGTTTGTGCCCGAGTATGTGATCTATTTTAGAGAAACCTCTATGGGATGCTGAATACAATGTGTATTCTTTGGTGATTGGGTGAAATATTTGATAGATGTCTATTGGGTCCATTCGATGTATGATGTCATTTAATTAAGATGTTTCTCTGTTTGTCCTTTGTTCAGTTGACCTGTCTATTGGAGACTGTGGTATTGAAGTCATCTAATACTACTGACTTGGGGTTAATCTGTGTCTTGAAGTTCTGTGTACTGTTTGTATGAAATTGTGTCACTAGAATTTGGTGTCTATATGTTCATGATTGTAATATCTTCTTGGATAATCATTCCTTTTATCAGAATGAAGTGGCCCTCTTTATTTCTTCTGATTAGTTTTAGTTTGAAATTTATTTCGTCAGGTATTAGAATTGCAACACCCGATTATTTATTACTGCTGTTTTTTTGAAATATTTTTCTCCATTCTTTAAACTTAAGATAGTGCTTTCCTTGAAAGTAAGATGACTGCCTTACAGACAACAAACAAAATTTTTTTTTCTTTATCTATTCAATTAGTCTGTGCCTTTTGACTGGGGAGTTGAGTCCATTGGAAGTAAATTCATTATTGAAAGGTACATATTGGTTATTGTCATTTTAATTTATGTTTGTGTTCCTGGTCTTATTTTGTGTTTCCATAGTTATACCTTCATTTGTTTTCTTTATGTGGCCTCTTGTGTAGGGTCATTACACTCTTCAGTCTTTTGTATTGCTTTGAGTACTCTCTGTAGGACTGGTTTGGTGGACATGAATTCTTTCACCATGTTTGTGTCATGGAACTTTTTCTCCTTTAATTATGGCAGACAGTTTTTAGGGGTAAAGTATTCTGGGTTGGCATCTATATTCATTTAGAACCTGAAATACCTTGCTCCAGGCTTTTCTGGCTTTCATCACTTCCATTGAAAAGTCAACTGTAATTCTGATGTTTTCTTTTTTATGTGACTAGTTATTTTTCTCTTGCAGCTTTCAGTATTCTCTGTTCTGCAAATTTAGTGTTTTTACTATGATATGCTGTGGGGAGTTTTTGTTCTACTCCTGTCTAATTAGTGTTCTGTGTGCTTCTTGTACCTCCACGGGCATGTCTTTCCTTAATTTAGGGATATTTTCTTATAATCCTGTTAAAGATCTTGTTGAACCATTGTCCTGGTATTCCTCTCCTTCCTCTATGCCTATGGTGCATAAATTTTGTCTTTTCATGGTGTCCCACATTTACTGCATATTTCATTCCTATGTTAAAAAAATTATATCTTTGCTTGAATGGCCCAATTCTTCAACTTTATCAACCAGTCTTGATATTCTGTTTTCCATTTAATTCATTCTGTTGATAAGGCTTTTACCTGTCATTTCAAATTGGCTTATTGAGTTGTTCAGTTCTTTCTTAATTTCAGCCTGAGTTTCCTTTAGTATGTTTATCTCTTTCATGAATTCACTTTTCAAATTCTGTCTTTCATTTTATTCATCCATATTTGTATTTTCTTGAGCTTCAGTCAAGAATTTATCATTTTCCTTTTTGAGTTCTTTGAGCTGTTTGCTTGTTTTTTAAATTTGTTGAATTCTTTGATCTTGTTTAAAATTATTATCCTGAATTCTGTGTTCTGGGGTTCCTCTAGGCAGTTTTCATTGTAGAACAGGTCTGTAGGACTGGTGGGGTTTGGTGGGGACATATTGTCTTGATTATTCATATTGTTTGCATTTTTCACTGTTGTCTAGGCATATGAATTTCTTTTGGTGGCTGTGTGACATACTTGTACACTGGCCATGCTAGTCTCTGTAGCATTTCAATGTTATTATATGTGCTGCCAAAGGGAGCACCAATCTCATGTCTTTAAATTAATGAATACTATTTTATTGTATAAATGTACCATATTTTGTTTAGCCACTATTCAATTGAGAGATTTTCCTAGTTTTTTTCCATTATCAGTTTTGTGCTTTTTGTCTCAAAAACCCAAAAAATTTAGAGTGCTTCACTGCAGATAAATATTTGAGAAGTTACATAAGTTTAATCTGATTAAGTATTGTATAATACATGTATGCATTAATTATCACATACTAACCAAATTAAATTGTGTTTCTATTTTTACATGTAATTTAACATTCTAATTGTAAAAATAAAGTATCGTTTATTAAATTTGTTCTATAATTCTGTGAAGAATATTATGGGGATTTTTACTGGCACTGTATCGAATCTATAGATTACTTTGGTTAGAATGGCCATTTTCACAATATTAATTCTACCTATCCAAGAGCACAGGTGATCTTTCCATCTCCTGGTGTCTTCCTCAGTGACTCTTTCTTCAAAGCTTAAAATTTTTCATAATAGAACTCTTACGGCACCAAGAAGTTTAGCTATCAGGGAAGAAGCTTCCAGCTCAGTTCCAGCTTGATTTTCTATACCTTTCAACAAGGGTGTGTGGTATCTGCAGGAATAGGGACTTGTGATCTAGTTCCTGTGGGTATCCAAGGGAAATGACAAGAGCCTGTGTTGTTTCAGGTGCTTCTAGGGCCTCCCTGACTAATAACTCATAAAGAGATTCCCCCACACTTGTCACTCAGACTTCTGTTGGATGGGCATCAGATTCTAGGAACAGTATTATTCAGCCTTGCAGGCTGTCTCCCTTCTAACTATTCATTAGGTTGGTTGTTTTTTAATTGACTTACAAAGTAGTCGGTTTCCATAGTGGTCTTTCATCTATCTTTCATTTTGGTTAACCTTCACTCCCTGCTGATTAACTATTACATAATATATACATGCATTAAGATGTCACAAGAGAGCCACATTATAATGTATTTTTTGCATATATTTAGATTTTTAATAATAGTCTGAAATCCTAGAAATATGAAAACAATAAATAAACAAAAACTATCATTAGCCGGTTAAGATCATAGATTAGTGGGAAAGAAAAAATGGAATTTTAGTTGGACAAGTGTTACCAGAATTCTCTCTGGGTCTCTTGCATTATCAGGCAAACTATATAACATATCTTTATGTGCATTTGTTATTATTGTGGGGGGAGGGAGGGGAATGACTTACAAAGAAACTGGCGTGCAGTGCCTAGCTATGCACAGCTCAGAGCCTGTCATATCAGATAGCTCCCCTGGCCTGCCCATAGTCACCGTTAGCTTTTGCCCATGCCTCAGGGGCCAGCAGTCTCTCCTCAGGTCCATAAGTGCCAGGCCATTCTGTCCTTGAGTAAGCCCAGCTGCTGCATGTTCCCCATGCCAGCCACTGGGCATTCCTGGTAGCTTGTGGCTTCCGTCCCAAAGTGGTGCCACAAGCCCCCTCTTCTGTGGCTACCTCTCCACAGTCAATTCTCCACAGCAGGCCCTGCCCCTTGGAGGAACCAGAACCCCTGGGGAACACAACAAGCAATCAATAGTCCTACCTAACTATAAAGACTATGAACCAGCCCTTGATTGCCTCCAAGAGCTTGACAGTAAGACCCTATTGCTGAAGACAAGACCTACTTTGGACACAAGACTTGGAACAATGGAGCTGGAACTAATCTGGAAGCCACCTCTCAGAAGGCTGGTTCTCATAATTTTGGAGAACACTATGCAAGCTGCTAAGGGAGAACATCAATTAATGGCCCAAATCCTAGCTTTAAGTCCTAATAATCACAACAATGACCAGCACAGCAAACTGTACTGGGGCAGTTAGTGACACTTTTATCTTGGGGGGGGTGGTGGTAATCACCAGCTACCTAACTGGACTTCAAGTTCACCCAGTGGGGGCGAATTCATGGGTGCTACTGTAAACACAACCAAATATACATGACTGGAGAGGTCATAGATCTTAGAGAAAACCCCAAGGCGGTCACAACCCTAGACAAATGTAATTTCTTAGTATATGCTAAATATGGATACTTATATTTACAGACAAGTATGTCAGTCAGCACTCATCAAAGAAATTTCTTTTGCAACAGGAGAAGACTTGTATAAAGTTCCACAACTGGTTGCACACAGAGATTCAGTGTCTGTGAAATGCCCAACCCTAAGTGACGCATCTACAATGGAACTTTTATAACTAAGGCTTATGAAACTCAGTGGAACAAGGCGTAGAGAGAATACTAATGCATCTCTCATCTTTCATCAGTGAAGCTCCCTCACCAACAGATGGCCATGAACACAACATGCCAAAGCATAGAGAATAAGAGTTTGCAGAGTGTGGATCCTTGGACAGGACTCCCGTATCAAACTTCACCCACCCAGGGCTCAGGTATCATTGCACAAGAAGGGGTGGAAAGATTGTAAGAGACATGGGAGGAGGTTCATTGTCACGCCACCTCCAGTGGAGGCCGCATGAGGAACTCTCCGTGGGTCGAGGCTGAGAAAACTTCAAAGGAAGAATGCCTCCTGGAGAACGGCTGTGTTAAAAAAGCATGCTGTGTCCTTGGCTGTTCTGCTTTAGTTCCTGTCTTTATTGCTGTCTTTATTCCTGTTCTTTCCTCGTAGAGAAACTGCTTTGTACCTACTCAGGTCATTAGGCCCACCTAAAGAGAGACTAGATACGGATGATTTCCTGGGAACTCAGTTTCCTGATATTAGACTTCCTCCAAATGCTCTTTTCTTATTTCAAACAATAAGAAAAGTAGCTAAGAATAGGCAACCTTGGAAAATTCTAAATAAGTTACAGCAAGAATTATTTGTATATAATCCTCCTACCTCAGTTCCTAAAATTGACTCGAGGAGATTAAAAAAATACTGAAAGAAGATTGCTGCCTACAGTTAAGACAGACTTTAAAATTGCCTACGAGATAGGGAGAGGTAGGCTATGGCATCCCTTAAGGGAAAGGAGAGCATATTCAAAATCCCCGAGCCCATTGATAAACCACTTCCTCATACAGGAGTTTATAAAAAAAAAAAATAATAGATGGGTAAATATTCAAGGAAGAAAAGTTTTATGGTATTCATTATAGTTTATGGATAGGTTAGCTAGATACAGACCACCTTGGAGCCTTTACTACAAGTCAGTGCAGCGAAGTATACTTAAATAATTACAGACGGTATAAAAAACATGAATAGAAAAATAAGGATTTAAAAAAAACAAGCCTTTAAAGTTATATGGCGTTATTATAACTTCACTGACCTAGTCATTGGCCTCAGCCACCAAAACCTCAAAAATAGAATAAAATTAAAAAAACAAAACCATAAAATTACCAACCATAAAGTTTATAAGTAGCTGATGTTGTCAAACCACTAAAAAGAAGGACAAATAGTCTAAGCACCTGATTAATTAGATAAGAACACTCCACACTGTACTGTATTGCTTTGATTTTGAATTGTATTTCTAAGAAAATGATTAACCATGAAATCAACCTGATGCTTGCACAATCTTGTTCTGTAACTTGTGTAAAATCTGATGCTCCACTTTAGAAAATTACATTCAGATCATCAACCATCTCTTGTGTTGTCTGTTTGTCACTCGCCGAATCCTTGCCCGCTCTCCGATTCCCTGTTCCCGTCGGACTGAGTGCTCCAGTCTGGGCTGGTCCGTTGCAGTTCATGACCACATAGATACATAGTCTTACAGGCTCCTGGGATCTTACACATATGAACTTACAGCAATGGTGACAGCATGAACAAGATCCATGCAAACACAAGCAGACAAAAATTCAGCATACAACTGTGGAAATGTTCAGCAGGTCTCAATCTTATCTGAAGAATTATTAGGCAGCTGATTACTGCTGGGTGTAGAAGGGCTGATCTTCTTTAAGTGAGTGACTCTAGATAGGCAGAAAAGACCCCAGTGGATGAACTTGCACTGAAGGATATCAGGGACTACTAACTTGACTTGATAGGCTTTAACAGAAATGGGTGAATGCATGAAATCCAGTGGGAGGTATGGGAGGCTGCTGATGGGGAGGGAGGTAAAAAGATAATTAAGATGTTGTATGTGAGCTGCACAAAAATTCAATAAAAATTTTAGAAGGAAATTCTCCATTGCTTTTATTAATAAGACTGCTCTCCAGTATGATTTCTCTCACAATTTTGAGTCTATGTGGAAGAAGTGAAGCATTTACCACTGTTTACGTTTGCATTGCTTCTCCTCCATATGAGTTATTTGATGTATTCAAAATACACTGAGACTATGAAAGGATTTTTCACACACCTTACATTTAAAAGGTCCATTTCCAATGTGCTTTATGTGTTCAAAAACCTGTGATAGAAATTAAGGTTTTATCAGAGTTTACATTCATAAGGGTTCTGTCTAGCAATCAAATTTCAACAGGAAGAAGTGAAGGCTTTCCCACATTACATTCATAGGGTTTCTCCCCACTATGAGTTCGTTCATGTTTTCAAAAAGAAGTAGAATGACTGAATGCTCTACTACATTGTTTATACGTACAGGGTCAGTTCCTCCCAAAAGCATGAACCAACTCGTGAACTCATCGGAGAAGCCCTATGAATGCAGACAATGTGGTAAGGCCTTCTTTTCTCTCTCAAGTGTTCAAACACACATGATAAAGCACACTGGAAATGGGTATTTTAAATGTGATGTATGTGAGGAAGTATTTCCTGTTTCCAGTGTATTTAGAAGGCATCAAATATCTCAAGCTGTAGAGAACTCTAATGAATGCAAACAATATGGCAAATGGTTTAGTTCTTCCAGTGCCCTTCAAATACATGAAAGAACTCATAGTGGGGGAAAAACCCTACATATGTAAACATGTGGTAAAGCATTCAGTTGTCTCAGTTACATTAGAAAACATGAATGAACTCATACTGAGGAAAAACCCTATCCATGTAAACAATGTGGTAAGTGGTTTAGTGCTTCCAGTTCTCTTCAAATACATGAATAAATTTTTTTTAGAGACTATAAGCCATAACAATGACCAGGCTGGCACGATATCCCTAGTGGTGCAATAGTGGCACTTTTATCTTGAGGTCAAACAACAGGTGTATAGCTGAACTTAAGGCCCACTCAATAAGAAGAAATTCACGCCTGGTACTGTAAACCTAGCCAAATACCTGTGACTTGAGAGGTTGTAGACCCTAGAATAGAACCTACTACAGATATTTTCATAAACCTTAATAAATTCTAACTGTATTCTATCTACTTATTCTTAGATCCATGATAAGTGGTTTTACCACATATAAAAGTTGCTTCTTTTTGCAACACATGGAGACAAGTAGAGAGGTCCACAACTGATCAACATGCAGAGAATAAGTGACTTTAGGGTGATAGCCTCAACTGATACATCTACAGTGCAACCTCTACACTCAAGACTCAATGAACATCATGGAAGAGAAAGCAAAAAGATTGTAAGAGCCAGAAGGATAGGATACCAGATGCTAGATAGTATCTTCTAGACAAGATGGGGAAACTGCACCCATGTAATCTCACCAATGTAATTGGCTAAACAAGACCTTCATAATGAAAACTCTGCTTTATCTAGTCTAGATTGAAGGTATGTTGGATTGTACTCTGGAATGAGAACCAAGGTTTACAGCTTGTTCTTTGTACGGCTTGCTTCTTTCTTCCTTTATATTATTATTGTTATTATTAATTATTTAAATTTGAGACCTGCTCTCATTTATCCCAGGATTTCAGTAATAGTCCTAGTAGCAGAAGATAACTTTGAACTTCTGATTCTCGTGCCTCTACACGCCTGAATGCTGAGATTACAGGTGTGGTCTAGAGTGTCCAGTTTATGCAGTTCTGGGGATCAAACCTAGAGTTTTGTATTTGCTGCATACTAAACAAAGGCTCTACCACCTGAGCTACATCCTTATCTCCTATTTAATTTCTACCCATAATGCCTGTCTCTTCTAGAAACAAGATGCACCATGGCAGTGGATTCCTCTTTACTGTTCTCACCTCTGGCAAACAGCACACACTTCCACACACCCACAGAATGCCATTAAACTGTAGGTCTTGTATTCTGCAATTCAGTATCAGAAACAAATTCAGTTTTATACACAGCTTTCAGCATTTCCTTAAATGTGATCAAGGTCTCAGTGATTCATGTGTACCAAGGCAGAGGGGGAAAGGAGAGAAATAATGCACCTTTCACCATGCAATATTTGATATGCATATATAAAGATGTCTTATATAAGAAAATATATTTAATGAGTTTTTAACATAGAAAAGATTCAGAAGTTATTACTCAATATTTTCAGTAAAGCATGAAATACATATGTGGGACATGATAAAGATATGGCAAAGTTGTGAAACTGAAATTGAACAAGCATAGGGTGTAGCCGTAATTCCGTGTTTATAATTAAGTAAATGCCAGTAAGTATGTTCATAATTCCCAGGGCCTGTCAAGGAAAACTTAGGACAATTTGAGGGTTATCCACACCCTACCCGAGTGTATTCTAAATATAGAGCATATTTTCACAGCACTAAATTTATCCTCTCCATCAGAGACCTGTGGGACCTCTACCTGTGGTGTCCTAAAGAAACTCTGTTGATTATCAGGAAAACCCCCAGAGAAAATATTAAATATTAAATTTGTTCTATGGGTTCATTATTTAAATATAGTATAACTGTCCCTGCTTCTGGGTAGGACTTGAGTCAGAGGTGGTCAAGCAGAGACGGTTCTTCATTATCTCATTCATTGTTTGAAATTCTAAAGCAAACAGATTTGTGAACTGCCTTCAGGAGAAAGATTAAAAAATGGAAAATCAAATGCAATTTAGGCACTGGGGAAGGAGACTCTGTCAGAACCAAATAGATCATAAGATGGCAATCTTATTTCTCTACAACTAAAGAGAAACTCTGCTCTCCACAGGTGGAGGAGGCACCTTAGGAAGTGGTAAGACCAGTGAAAACGCATTAGTGCAGGCTCAGCAAGAAATTCCTGTGATGCTGTAACCCAACTTATGCATGGACAAGCAGAGTCCTGACACAGGCTGTTTTCCCTTTGGATTGTATCTGATTAAAGTGGCCTCATGAATATTCCTTATAAAATTAATCTGTATAAATAAATCAGATCTGCTTTCTGTCCCTTTTAAAGTTTATATTTATATATATATATATGCTTTTTCAGCTTGTAAAATAATATAAATGGTAATTATACAAATCTACTATGTAAACTTCCCAATTCTTAATAGCTGCATTATGATTTTTCTAATCTTAAAGTTGATTAAATACGTCTTGATATCAGGTTTGACTTCTTCAAGATGAATTCTGATTTTTCAATGTTTACTTTAACACTAATTCATTAAGGCATTTATTATAAATACTAAAACCATCCAAAAGGAGGTTGTGGAATTTATTGGCTCATTCATTCACTTTATGTACTTTCACATAGCAGTGAATAAAATGAACAGAACTTCCTTTCTGGAAAGGGACAGCAAACCACACTAACTGCTGCTGTGAAGTACGCAAAGTTAGAAAGGGAGATGTTAAGCCAAGGTGTGCGGGTGTTTTCAGAGTTAACATTTTAGATTAGCGGTGGGAGAGCTTTGTGATGACTCTGAGCCAACATCTGAAACTGCTGAAGGTGCATTTCGCAGTCACGTCATCAGAAGAAGAGAGCAGGTTGCAAGGATGAGAAGTGGCATGCCCAGGAGTGCACTTTGGTTGAGCTTGAGAGGCCTGCAGTAGGTAGGTATTACTTTTAAATTTTTTTATTTTATTTTATTTTTTTACTTGTATGAGTGTATTGGCTGCATGTATGTGAGTGTACCCATACCGTGCAATGCTGTGGAGGTCAGAAGGGGGTTTCGGATTCCACTGGAACTGGAGTTAAGGACGATTCGTAGGCGCCATGTGGGTGCTGGGAATCAAACCCAGGTCCTCTGCAAGAGCAATCAATGCTCTTAACCACTGAGCCATCATTCCAGCCCCAATTATTACTTATTTTATTTGCTTTGCCATGTGCAAAAAATGTTTGTGTTTTTTGGATTTGAAAAATCTAGACTTACCAAGTTTACACTGGCTTTTAAACAAGCCAGCATTGCAACACATTTGCATGGTATATACTGTGCACATAAAAAATGGATTGTAACCCAGTGGAAACTCTGGAAAGACTTCTTTTCTTCAATTTTTAAAAATTTACTTATTTTCATTTTATGTGCATGAGTTTATTGCCTGCATGTGTGTAAATGAATCCACATGATGCAGCACCTATGGGGGACAGAAGAGGGCATTGGATCCCCTGGAACCGAAGTTACAGACTGTTATTAGCCACCATGTGGGTGCTGGGATTTGAATCTGGTCCTCTGTAAGAACACCAGTGCTTTTAATCACTGAGACATCTCTCCAGCACCATTGAAAAGATTTCTTAGAAAACAGAGAATTATGTGTGGATTTCAAGATTAAATGTTATTTACTTTAAGTAAATTTCCTAATTTGGAAACTGGTGAAAGGTGGAAAATCAAACAGTAGTGACTGGCCTGGGAAAGGAAGTGACATGTGTTAACAGAGTTTACAATATAAAGTCAAGCCAAGCCATGACAAAGACACCATATTTGCACTTACTGAGCCTTAGGAGAATGCAGTAGGACATAAGAATGTAGTCTTGGTACAAAAATACAAACATTTCTTCTGTGTTCATTAATTTGTCTTTTTTCTCTAGAAGAATATCTGTTGCTGCTGTCTTCAGTCAAGGACACCTTTATCAGCACAGAGAGTAACCTGTTTCCTGCAGATCACCATGCATGAGGCCAACAGCTCCAGCCTGACACCAAGATACCTTATCCTCAACGGGATCCCTGGGTTAGAAACTGCACACGTCTGGATCTCCCTGCCATTCTGTTTCATGTACATCATTGCTCTCACGGGTAACTGTGGGCTTATTTACCTCATCATCCATGAGAAGGCCCTGCACCGGCCCATGTACTACTTTCTCATCATGCTGTCTGTTACAGATATCACTGGTTGTAATTCAATACTCCCTAGTATTGTGTGCATCTTTTGGTTCAATATCAAGGAGATCGATTTCAATGCTTGCCTTGTGCAGATGTTTTTCATTCACATGCTGGCAGGCACGGAGTCCGGTGTGCTGATGCTAATGGCTCTGGACCGCTTTGTGGCTATCTGCTACCCCTTACGATATTCCACCATCCTCACCAACACTGCAATCATCAAGGCTGGCTTGGCCACTCTAATAAGAAATGTGATAATTGCCATTCCATTTATTTTCCTGATCAAGCGTCTTCCTTACTGTAGAGGTACTCTCCTCCATCACACCTATTGTGAGCATATGTCTCTGGCCAAATTATCCTGTGGCAATATTAAGATAAATGCTGTCTATGGTCTCTTAGCTGCTGGCGTGGTTGGGGGCTGTGACATATTGTGTATCTCCTTGTCTTACACCATGATCATCCATGCTGTAGTGAAGCTGTCTTCTGCAGATGCCCGCCAGAAAGCTTTCAGCACTTGCATATCACATATCAGTGCTATTATGATCACCTACGTCCCAGCCTTCTTCAACTTCTTCACTCATCGCTTTGGGGAACACACTATACCCCACCATGTCCACATAATTATAGCCAACCTGTACCTGTTGTTGCCACCCACCTTGAATCCAATTGTCTATGGGGTAAAAACCAAGCAGATCCGCGAAGGAGTGATCAAATTGTTTTCTAGAGAAAAAGATGTTTTGATTGAGAGATAAATTTATGCTATCAAAGTCTGTGTTTTGTATAAAGATCTAGAAAATTATCAAGGAGGAGAAGATATGAAAAATTCAAACCATGAGCTTGGTAGACAATAGGGGTTAACATTTTGTCATCAGAACACAGTAATGAACATAAGACCTCTAATTTGATACAAAGAAGGAAGATAGTGGGGAAACAATCACACTTTTCACATAATTTGCCTTTGTCAGAGCTCATGGAACACACAGACCAAATGGCAGAGTTAGAATATTCAGCCTCACAGGAACTCTTGGTAATTGATGCATTTACGTCTAGCACATGCGAACTGAGTAGGAAAGAATGACAGGTCAGATACTCTGAGATGTGAGAGTGCTGGGAAGACACATGAGCAAATTCTCCCAGTGTTCTGGGGAAGCAGGAAACAGTTTTGGAGTAGATGCAGGTGCTGAAGGTCATGACTGGCTGATTCTCCTTGACTTTAATGCCACAACGAATTCTGAAAGGAAAATCAGCCCTATCTGACAGCTGCTAGAGCAAAGAGTTTATAAATGGAGGGAAGGACACTTGAACAGCCTCTATGTAGTCTTCTGAGCAAGGGAGTCCGTGCTTGCCTACTTTACCTGGCTGCCATGTAGAAGGAGAGACAATGGAGGGACAGTGGCAACAGAAGGCAGGGCCTCCTTAGGTGTGGGAAAATCTCTGAGAAAAGTAATTTCTGAGAGCTAAATTATGAGTGTTTCCAGAAATAGGAGAGAATGCAAGGCAAGAGAGAGAGAACACAAGAGATGATTCAATCAGCAAGAAAGTTTTATGGAAATTCTTATAAATAGGTAAAATAATTATATTGACAAAATTATATTATTTGCTAACATGAAGGATATATTTTAATAT